ACAGTATAGATAAGTGAACAGCGTTGCATGGGGTAGAATATTATGTAACTGCAAAGTGACGGCAGTCGTGGATGTTGTTGTAGTTGTAGTGCTTATTCAAATTTGTAAGTGCGAATCGGCTCCAAGACCAGGTACATGTGAGTGAATACAGGGAATTGAACTGAGAAGGAGGATGGGCAGAAATACCAGTCGGATCCTCCAGTAGTGTTATCAGTCGAGCTGCGGATGCAGCACGGTGCCCTCGTCCAACAGCTTGTAGCAGAGCTGCCTGCTTGGTCTGTGAGTCTGTGAGTCTGTGTGCTTCGCCCATTGGTCTTGCAGCATTTCAATTGATTCCCTCAAGAGTGACTTTTCTCAATCACCCTGATGTAGTCCAGTGGTGGTTTGCAGTGCACTTCACATAGGGTGCTTCGAAGAACCAACTGGTGAACTGTGCAGGTGCAAGCCCGCCGCATAGGTGGACTACAGTTGGTGTCATTATACTCCATGTGATGTGTTGCAGTATGCTTTCAGATACAGTAAACCGTGGGAATAACGACCCCCGGTCAAGAGTGAGAAAAGTATTTTTCTTGCAGTAAAAAACTATGCAGTCAATTGGTTGCTTGGTCTGATGACAGTGCCAGGATTTGCGGGTAGTTTTTAAATCCGAGGTTGTTATTCGTCACAGTGAGGTTGACTATGTCTCATAGACTTCCGTACGATCAAGATCACGTTCCGTAAAAGCCCGTAAATACGCCCACCCAGTATAACTCCCACTACAAAATATAACCATGTACACGCCCAGTTGCCGCGTGTCAACACTCTTGTCCCACTTTCTAGCCCTTCTCCGCGTGAACGCCCATGGGCGAGAGCACAGGCCCAGTGCACAGTGCATGGTGCATACCCAGCTCCACGTGCATGTACGGTACTGTAGTATAACGTAGTGCACAGTACCCTGTGCTAACCTGAGACGTACCTGTACTTTAGTAGTACCGTAAAGTACCGCTAGAGCGCCCTGTCCCCGTCGCCCATTTTTCGAATAATTGATTCGTTAGCTTGTAACTATTTCTACTTCGAGTATTCGGTAAAATCATTTCACCCTTAGTTTCCGCCCATTGCCTTATTACGGGCTTTTACGGTAGCTGTTGACTGCATTTGGTGCACTTCACTTTGGCGGAGTTGGTGGGTTGGGATCCTGTGTGTGAATGTACAAGATAAAGGTGGTTGGTAGCGCTGTTGTAAGGTAGTACGTCGAAGTAAAGACATTCATTTCCGTGTTACTATGACGACAAGCGAACCAATCCGCATGGTCTTTCACGCACAACATATGCTTTAAAGTTTGCTAGTCGTATGGGTATGGGTATAGTTACCAGATATGTGTGGTGTGCCGACTCAGTTCAGTTCAGTAATGGCTGCCACTGAATATAGTTCTAACTCATGAGACTAGACCAAACGTCATGATTCTTCATCATCAGTAAGGGATAATCCTTACCTGTCGCCTCTACGGAGGCGTCAGAGTATTTATGATGCACTGTGGAGGCTGATGACACTTCGTGACTTACACCTCCTGGTTTGAGAGACGCAACACCTCTCACTCCTGCTTGCTGATCCCCCACCCCCAACCAAAAATTATTCTAAAGGAAGATGAATCCAAATGTGTGACGGTCTGCACAGAACTTGATGGTAGGCTCTCTTTTGTCCAAAGTTTGGAGAAACCCGACTTCTAGGCATGATTCCTCATGCATCATCTCCCTTCATTGAAGATGGAACATAAAGATACATTCCCTCAGTGAGTCATCCAGCCTGGCAAGGCTCACCTCCGAAAGATGTCGTCTTCCAGCAAAGCCGCCCGAAAGGCACAGTGCACTCGGTGAAATCCGACCCAAAGTGCAAAGCTAGCGGCCCTGGACCAGTTCCGATTACATCATTGTATGGTGCATGTGTTTGACCAGGCGCATTTGTGCCACTTCCAAGGCGTCAAGGCTCGTTAAAGTTGAGGGCGCGAATAATGCAATCCGGGTCGGATTTCACTGAGCGCAACTGTAGATGAGTGAACGGCTCTGCAGTGCTAGTATAATACTATTATGTGACGGCAGTCACTGAGTGTGACAGGAGTGGTGGATGTTGCTGTTGCAGTTGTTATCTATATTTGAATTCGCAAGTAGAAGTGAGCTCAGAAGCCCAGTTACATGACACCGAATGCAGGAAATGGAAGTCACTGAGGAAGGAGGAGGGTGGGCAGGATTACCAGTCGGATCCTCCAGTGGTGGTATCAGTCGAGCTGCGGGTGCGGCAGGGTGCCCGGGTCCAACAGCCTGTAACAGACCTGCGTACCTTCTGCTTGGCTTTGGCGCACTCCATCATGGTCTCGCAGCCGTTTCAAAACTTTAGTATGCTTCCACACCGACTTTTCTCAATCTCCCTGGTGCAGCCTGGTGGTGTTTTTCAGTGCACTAAGCATATTGAACGACTGTGTGAGCTAACTTTATGCAGGTGCAAGCCCGCATAGGTGGACTACAGTTGGTGTCGTTAGGCTCTTTGTGATGTGTTGCAGTATGCTTTCGGATACAGTATACCGTGCAAATAACGATCCAAGAAAGGTCGGGCGTGCGAACAGTGTAGTTATTCGCGCAGTTAACGCCAGGGAGTAGTAAAAATACCACTATTCCTGGTTTGGTTACTTGGTCTGACAATACAGAAATTATTTTCCATGTTACTATGACGACAAGCGAACCAATTAGCATGGTCTTTCACGCGCAACATATTATGCTTTGAAGTTTGCTAGTTGTATGGGTCTGTGTATAGTTACCGGACGTGCGGGGTGCGCGGACACACTTCAAATCAGTGATGACTGCCACTGGATATAGTTCTAACTCATTGGACTAGACCAAATGCTGTGATTCTTCATCATCAGTAAGGGATAATCCTTACCTGTCGCCTCTACGGAGGCGTCAGAGTATTTATGATGCACTGTGGAGGCTGATGACACTTCGTGACTTACACCTCCTGGTTTGAGAGACGCAACACCTCTCACTCCTGCTTGCTGATCCTCCCACCCCAACCTATAATAATTGCAAAGGAAGATTATCTACAAAGGGAGTATACTCAATCTGCGGACATCATGCTGTTTCGTTCTTTGTGAACTCATCAGCGCAGCACAGAGGAAATGAGGCCGAACCTGATAGCAATGAAAATAAAAATTCCCAATCAGGCCCGAACGTACCTTGCCAGAGTGCTCAAACTGACAAGTCAGTGAGCTCTGCGTAATGCAAACAGCAAAGGCACTACCCCACATGAGAGTGCTCAACTACTACAAGAGCAGGAGCGAAAATACTCAATCTGCGGACAGCATGCTGTTTCGTTCTTTGTAAAGGGAGTATAAGTAGAAGATTGATTCGTATACTGGTAGAGTCTGCCCATGGTACATGTACGTTTTCTTGTTTTCAATACGTAGAGGAACTCAACAACCTGGTGCAATCAAGCGTTTATGAAAAAGAGTATGCAGCTGTCATCTCTTTTCTATGGACCAGATGTGCTGCCTTCATTGCATCGTTCAGCTGCAGTCCGCACACTGCGGAAATCAAACACGATGCTTTCCTTCAGGTTTGAAATGAACTTTCGTTCGGAACTGGAGTTTCACGCGCCAAAATTTAGAGATCGCCTAATCAAGCAAAAGCGGACGTGCTGGTACGAGAAACAGTGGGTTCGAACTTTGAAGGCATGCTTTCAGAGCGTGATGGAAGCAGGTTACGTCATGAAGGTAACCCGCGGCGCACGGACCTATAACAACAGTTGCATACTGATGTTGATACACTCTTGCTACGATATAAAACACTGGTAGATCAACGGTCAGCTGCACAGTGGAAGTACATGTATAGTACAGTTGCGCAATGTGAAATCCGACCCAGTGTGCATATTTGGCGCCGTCAACTAGCACGCCCTGGAAGTGGCACGAATGCGGCTGGACGTACACATGTACAAATACAATGATGTGATTAGAACTAGTCCAGGGCGCCAGCTTTGCACTCCGGGTCAGATTTCGCTGAGCGCAACTGTTCATGTAGTAGGTGACTGTGATGTAGCAGTGGGCGTTTATCCTCCATTAGTGGCAACAGTCGAGCTGCGTATGTTGTTGTTGATAGCCAGCAGTTTTGCTGCAAGGTTACTCGTAAAAGAACGTTTACTCCATGTTGCTATGACAACAAGCGAATCCTTTCGCATGTCCTTTCCCTTTGAAACTATGCAATTGAAGTTTTCTAATTGTCTGGGCATGATAACTGGATTCATAGTCGAGGCACACGGAATCACTTCGGTTTTAATGATGACTGCCACTGGATATAGTTCTAACTCATGGGACTAGACCGAACGTTGTGAATCTTCATCATCAGTAAGGGATAATCCTTACCTGTCGCCTCTACGGAGGCGTCAGAGTATTTATGATGCACTGTGGAGGCTGATGACACTTCGTGACTTACACCTCCTGGTTTGAGAGACGCAACACCTCTCACTCCTGCTTGCTGATCCCCCACCCCAACCCTATAATAATTGCAAAGGAAGATGAAAATGGAACCTCTGTTTTCCTGTGCCTATGTGTAAAGCCGGGAAATGCCTGTGCTGGTTTTAGTTTGTGATATATGTGCCGAGACCAGTTTGCATCTGGAAATGTTTATGATTGAGGTGAATTTCATCAGTTTAACTACTGCAGTTCTACGTTGCACGCTGGATTACTTTTGTGCGATTTCTCACATATCGGGGAATAGTGAACGTTTCCAGATCGCAAAGGTTTCCCTGTTGACAGTGTGTGTAAAGCCCGATTCATATTTCATGTCGCATACGGGAAACGCGTCGCGTCGCGAAAAAGTTGAGCTGAGCCCAACTATTTCGCGTACGGGAAACCCATCGCGCGACCGTCGCGTGATGGGTTTCCCGTACGCGAGATGAAGTATGAATCAGGTTTAAGTGTGTATGGTGACATGTGCTTCTGTGATGTCCTCTATTCTTTGGTTGTTGCTTCACCGCAGATCTACCAGGAGGTTGTGTATGACTTGCTGAATCCGCACGGCAAGGACATGAAGATCCGCCAGCACCCAAAGCTGGGAGTGTGAGTCATGCGCTTGACGGTGTACATGTAGACATGCTCCTTGAGCCTTTAGGCGATGAACTAATGCAGCGTGAAATGTATGTCAACTTGTTTGGCATAGCTGTGCAAAGCACATATACTAGTTTCCCCAAAGCTGCTCAGTGTACTTCGTAGTACTTGCGACCCCTTTGTCAGGTTCTCATTGAAATGGCATTACAGCGGACCCGATTCAACACAAATGTTTGGGGAGCAGAAAAAAGTGTCCCTTCTTATCAATATTTCTCCAGTGCAAAACATGCATTCAGGTCTGAAATTTCTTTCGTTTTATCCACATTATGCCGTATGCATGCAAATGCTAAGTGGATATTATTGTACTTGATTTGAGCAGTAATGCCAGTATGTTTGAGCAACAGACACTTGCTGTTGGGTATAATAATACATCTTGTTGCCGCTCACGGGTGCCTGCCTTTTGTGTTTCACAGAAACCTCGAGGATGCATTGTTGATGAAGAACAGACCTCGAGGATGCGGTGTTGATGAAGACTTGAAGAGTATACCTCGAGGATGCATTGTTGATGTAACTGTTAGATCGGCTGTGGTTGCATTACAGAGCCGTTCTCTCTTCTCTCTCTCTCTCTCTGTGCACCTTGTTTCCGTTAGGTACGTCGACGGTCTGGCAGAGCTGGTGGTGCGTTCCAGCGAGGACATTGCTCGGCTGCAGGAGCAGGGTAACCGGGTGCGCAGGATGGCATCCACCGAAATGAACAAGACCAGCTCTAGGTGAGGATCAGCTTGCAACACCAGCGAGTAGAGTGTTGCTGTATGTGTGAGATATTGCCGTTGTTATTCCACGACTGAAAGATCTAGTTGGAAATGTTGACAACAACATGTGACTACAGATATAATATCTCTCCCATACTCCGTTTCATTTCCTTCTCCTCAATTAAACATCCGATTGTAGTTGGGCTTATTAAATATTCATGAGGAAAGGATGTCAGGGTGTCACAATGATAGGTTTTTGCGGATTTTATTAATTGGTGTCACCCCCACAGACTCGGAGATATGATAGAAAGAAAAATCATGGTTAAGGTCACATACGAAACATTCATGCGTGGACCCAGCAGCGGCTCTATATTCTCCATTCACACTCATCCTGGAGTAGCATACTAGTAGATACATGCAGGCACTGTGTCCGCTCTCCTGTTGATCACGGCAGCTCATGCAGTAGCCAAGGCGTGTGTAGGTGTACAGCCGCATGACAGGATCCCTAGCTGTTTGCTGGCCGTGCAACTAGACTGGGAACCTAAACATCCCTTTACCGTGGCTGCTTGTTGTTACCGTAACTGCACAGATCTCACAGCGTGTTCACAGTCGTGGTGCAGCAGAAAGAGACTGACTTGGATGACGGGCAGAGTCGAGGTCATCGCGCCAAGATCAACCTGGTCGACTTGGCCGGCTCGGAGCGAGCCGATCGAACGAAGGCGGAGGGACAGACACTTAAAGAGGGTGCCTTCATCAACAAGAGGTCAGTCGTGCTTATTCAATATGTATTTGTTTCATACATGCGTGCGGTGGGCCCATGAGGTTAACCGAGGAACTGTATACCCTGCCCTCAAAACGTTCAACCTTGACCTACAAGCTTACTTGCAGAGTAGAACGTGTAGGCCTATTGCAAACAGGCGAGCTCAAGTTGAGACCTGTGTGACTTGCTCACGAGATCGATGACAGTACCTCTGTGTGTGCGTGCGTGCGTGCGTGCGTGTGTGTGTGTGTGTGTGTGTGTGTGTGTGTGTGTGTGTGTGTGTTTGCATGCGTGCATGTGTATATTGGTGTGTGCCGGTGAGCGTGTGCTGTTGTGTATGCGCGCTTGTTGTGTTCATTGTCATTCACTACACACTTTACGATATTCCGATTATCAGCTTGGCAGCTCTGGGCAACGTAATCAACGCTCTAGCAATGCCAAAGAAGGGAGCTCACATTCCCTACAGAGACTCCAAGCTAACACGTATTCTTCAGGTCAGAGCCTAAGGTGTATATGGTATAGGTAGCACACATGCTAGAAGTCGTGTGTAACTATGTGTGTGTGTGGGGGGGGGGGGGAGATTGCAGTGTCTGATTTCAATTTTGATGTACAGCGGCTGCTCATTGAGATCCGATCGCGTGAATCAAGTCTGCATCCTGCGTCAGTTCACGGCCCAGTGTTTGCAGGTCTAAAGCTGCACAGTGCCTGGTGTGGCATTGACTCGCGTGATCAGATTTCATTGAGCAGCACTGTAGCCTTGTGACTTGGACCGCAGACATTTGTTTATATGAGGGGCGTAGCAGCCAGTCCGGCCGGTCCGGCTTTGGCCGGACCACTTTTTCGCCCAGAAGAGCCCAAAATGCTGGATTTTGCACCCTAGTTTCAGAAATTTCCCGGGGACACCCCCAGACCCCCCCTACAACCGGACCACCTCCAACGGCGGTGCTACGCACCTGTATGTACGCACTCATTTTGTGAAGACTCAGCAGTTCTCTCCTCCTCCTCTTCTGTGTGGTTCTAGGAATCGCTTGGTGGCAACTGTTTGACTGTGATGCTAGCCATGGTGTCTCCAGCTGGTGAGAGTCGTGTGTGGGCTGGTCGTGCCGTACTGTCGGATGTCACGCGGCTTGGCATGAGCCCAACGGGGGCATATACTACGTCAAGATGTGGTGCCTCACCTCTTTGATCAAGACAGCTGAGCATAGATTTGTGCCCCTTCATTTGGGGTTGCATCTCCTATTCTAGATCTCCGGTTAGATTTAGCAAACCAAACCTAGTTTGGGAATTTGAAAATACGCTGCTATGCTCAGAGAAAAATCCTGATTTTGACCATAATTAAAAGCTTGAATTTCTACCATTCTGTGCTGAGACAACGTAAAAATCTGACCAGCAATGACCTACGCGTTTTTCATTTCTCAGACTTGTTCTCAGAAATTCTGTGTGGATGCTCTTCCAAAGAGATTTTGGACGTTTTCTTGTCCAAGAAGTGGGCCATAGCAAAATTCCGGGTGGGGTTTAGCGTTCAACTACCATGCCTTGCCGAATTCGGTGCAGGTTTCCTGGCCTAATCCAGCCTAAATCAGATTTAAAATTCCAGAATTATTTCTGAATGGACGAGTTTAAACACTGTTGGCATGGTTCTTGTTCAATGGCGTAGATGTGAACTTCTCGGAGACTGTAAGCACTCTGGAGTTTGCCAACCGAGCGAAGAACATCCAGAACAAGAGCCACAAGAATGAGGTAGGCCTCTCCGCTGCCTACATTGTAGATAGCCACAACACAAACACAGTCATTGTGATAAGAGCTAACAAATGCAACATGTGCTGCTGCCTGATTTAGATAAATTCTTAGCTGACTCTTGACTTTTGGGTGGGGGGGGGGGGTATTCCCAAAATTCCAGAATCACCACCACCACCAGCTCCCCCCCCCCCCCCAAATAGGAGGGGGGAGGGGTGAGAGTTATATGCGCATGGTGTGTTTGGAAATTCCAGAATCCTGAGATGACACACTTATTTGACTTCTGTTCAAACTTGGATGCATTGTTTCTGCTATCGGGAGGGCTGCCACCAATGCCGCCGTGCACTCTAAGCACTCAGTGCTCGGTGAATCACCAAGGGAAATCTTTTATGAAAGACATAGCCAACATTCATTAGTTCTGGGAATGTATAAGGGAAAAGTCTGAAGAAAATCTGGACTGTCACAACCAGGACTCGAACAAGGGACCTTCACTTGAGGCCATCAAGTGTGCGTGAATATCCAAATTGAAAATCTGTGTGCAGCATCCTGGAAGATAGATGTTGTCGGGTTCTTTCATTTCACTGCCGCATGGCGTTACGGGTAAAGGAAATACTGCTTTCTCATTGGCTTGTGATGTTGACTGTATGTTGACTGTATATTATGCTGCACCATGTCTACATGTATGTTGCAGGACGAGAATGCCACGCTAATCAGATCGCTACGTGAGGAGATTGCGGCGCTGAGAAACAAGCTGCAAAGCGCCGATGCGGGACAGGGCAGTGAAGAAGTCTCCAAGATGGAGGTGAGCTGCATGCTACCATGCCCACCTACATGAGGCGTACCACTCGTTGCACTTACCTGGCCAGGCCATAACAGCTTGCTGAAGGCCTGTTGTTGTGTAACTTATCTCATAGACATGATCAGACCCACATGATCAGTTTGGTTTCCCTGGAGTCTGGGTCTAGTCTGTCTGACAAAGTGGACTGATAGCATCCATTGCTGACACAATGAGCTGTGCCCTGTCGTTCTTGATCTGCCGAATGTAGCTGCTGGCCTGAGCATAATAATAATCGAAAACACGGAACTGGACCATGCATGCCATCTACTAGTATGCTACTCATATTGCACAGTCCAGCCCGACTCTAGCCCTTCCCTAATGTTGCATATACACTAACTGATCCGCTTTGATAGGCTGGGAAAGTTCCGAGGCAGGTCTGAATGTGTGCTGATGTATGGTGCCGAGCCTTTGGTTACCTTGGCAACCGACGAACCAAATAACTGGCATCGGTGATTGTGCCGCAATGTGCACAAGCTGTGGAGACGGACTTGTTGGAGGCGCATCTGTGCCGCAACCCAGCATACATGTTCCGGTTTCTTCAGACTGCTTTTGTGAGGTTTTCTCTGCACATGGGGCTATTAAATGTGAGATGTACGTGCGTGCGTTCTTTCTTTGTCACAGGAAATGGTTCGCAGCCTGCAGCTCGCCAAGCAGCAGACCTGGGAAGAGCGCGAGAGGCTGTCCATGGTGTTCGAGGAAGACCGACGGAAGAACTTGGCCAACAAGGTACATAATCAGTAAATTGATGTTGCTGTTTTTGTTTTGTTTTTTCGGTTTTGGTTTCCCGTTCTCGGGGCCTTCTATTCGGTACTCTTTGTAGTTGTACTTCTGTACTGTTAAGCTCTCCTAATTCAAATAAAAAAAGAATTCAAAAAAAAAGTGTGTCCATCCCGTCGTTCACCGCATACCTGACACGCCATGCTTTAGGCATTGAATTTCATACTTTTGTTGTTTCGGGGTACAAAAGAATGTGCCACCTAAAAGGCTTTTGAGACATGTGCCATTATAGTGCAACATTCAGCAGCAGGATTCGCTCCTTAAGTTTGTTTTGAATCATCTCTTGAACTGCTTTGACCTGCCTACATTCATATGTCAGAAGTAGTAGAAAATGTGAAGAAAATGTCATGTGTCACCAGCTGTTGTATTCCTTATGCACTCAAGTACTTTTTCTCCGTTGGTCTCCTACCCAAACCGCCGTAGGGCATCTTGGAGTGGGTGATGGACAGTGTGAAGAAGGAGAACCGTGAAGTCCAGGCCAAGATGGCGCAGCTTCAAAAGGAACGAGATCAGGTAAGGACAAGGACCGTGAGCTGCCATAGGACACGCCTTTGAATCCTGCTCAGGCGAGGGAGGATCATGGGGGTTCCCCTAAAATGAGCCCTGCCCAGAACTGCTATCGGGCTTCGGAGTTGCTTGCTTAGAGTGAAATCATGGAACCATCGGCCATCATGCCACAAAGCCTATACCGTGCATACAGTCTGCACACGGAATGCAATGCCATATTTGTAGCAACGTTTTTTTGTAGCAGTGCACGGCACATCCTCTCTCCCACCTTGGCAAGTCAAACGAAAGTGTAGCAAGTTACTGTACTTGCGTTTCGGATTCAGAAATCGGAATGCATGTAAACTGTATCCATGGTGTCAGATCTGATGAAGCCCCACGGGCGAAACTTTGGAGAAAATTTGGTATTATGTTTTATGATTGCAGTGTAAGACCGTAGTAACGTGAGTAAAGGAGATAAGATCTGACTGAATGTATCAATCATCAATAATCATAGCAGCATAACTGTATTCGTTACAGTCTCGCCCAGGACGAAGAACAGGAGCATCTGGTGATCTCTTTTGTATTCCCATGATTTCTTACGCTAGCTCTCGGCGGAGTACAAACACTATAAGAAGGTGACTGACGACATGCGCGTGGAGCTGCAGACGAAAATCGACCAATACTCCGACGTGGCAAAGTCAGGTGAGACCTTAAAAAAACAGAGGACTAGTATACTGAAACTTTTTCTCTTATCTTTTCTCTGGAGTATACTGCTGCCCATTGCCGAAGAAACCACGATCCATGCAGGCTAGATTCATGTATCTTAAATTGGGTATCAGGGTAGACAACGTCTCACACGGTTATACACCTCTACACACCCTGAAGAAAGGGTGGACAATGGGTTATTTTAATCCGAATTTTCAAGAGCAAAGTAGAGTACTTAGTCGCACCAACCTCTTCTTCACAAAGTACAGTACTATGCAAGAAAGGGCTATGCAGTCAGTGTTAAATGTATGAGCTCTAGTGGCTTGCTGTTTTTGGTACTGTGTTAGGCGGTCGAGGATTGGCTGTACGGATTCCATGTGACTTGATGGTGCCTGAAGAAAGTCTTCTGCTGTGAATGTGTGGTGATTTCCTGCTGTGTGTGTGTGTACGTATATGTGTGTGTGTTGTTGTTGTTGTTGTTGTGTGTGTGTGTGTGTGTGTGTGTGTGTTGTGTGTGTGTGTGTGTGTGTGTGTGTGTTGTGTGTGTGTGTTGTGTGTGTGTGTGTGTATTTGCGCGCACACATGTGTGTATGTATGGCTGTGTGTGTGCCTGTGTGTGCACGTGTGTTGTATGTATTTGCACGCATGCATGTGTGTATGTGTGTGTGTGTGTGTGTGTGTGTGTGTGTGCTTGTGTGTGTGTGTGTGTGTGTGTGTGTGTGTGTGTGTTGTGCTTTGTATACTGACATGATAGGAGATAAACAGGGTGATGTCCCCAAGCAGCACATGGACGAGATCCATCAGCTGAAAGAGCGCTTCAAAGTCGCCAACGATCGCCTCAAAGAATCCAAAGGGTCGCTTCAAACCGTTCGCCAGCAGCTGGCTACAGCCAAGGAGGTATGTTCATAAACATCACTCATATGGCACTGCTAGCTACAATAATAATAGTACTGGCAGGGTCTGGAAGTAAGCAACGAGAGAGCTTGGAAGCTCAGGCCCTTCGCTATGCTTTTTTGCCTAGCTAGCTCATCATGCATGTTATTAGAACTGATGGAAATGTTTTTTTTCATTGATTGGCTACATGAAACTTTCTCTTTGCATTCGAGGGTAATACGACACCGTCTACCACCTTGATGAAACGAATGTGAGATCGAGTTGCTGTGCCTTTCCGAGTCATTGTGGGGTAGTTTCGAGAGGACGTAGAAGTTACACCGCCGTGCATATTGAGATGAGAAGTACCAGGATGGATTCGCTTGGTCCTGATCTTTCGAACAAGCCCAAGATGATGAAAACCCATCAAGGTGAACTGAATTTAGAGAAAAATTCATTCGGACCTGTGCACGAAAACGACACCAGGAGAGTCAGTGCGCTGGAAAGGCAGTTTGCTGGAGTAAAAGAGGCCAGCACGGAAAGGGTTAATGTTGCCCCTGGCCAGAAAGCTAAAACTAATTTTTTACCCGCCTTACTTTTTTGCTCTGCTGACCATCACTGTTCACTTTGCTTTTAGGATGCCAAGGCACACAGCTCATTCTTGGCTGGCAACGCAGAGCTCCGCCAGCTGATTCAGGTGAGAGACAAGAAGGCGGAGTTCTATCAAATTATTTATTTGGCACTTACCCATTGAGCAGAGAGGAGACGGGGAATGTGGTGTATTGCCAGTACACTTACGTGTCAATGCATGCCCTAGACCTAGTGCATCTGAGAGGGAAACATGTAGCTTTGCTGAATGGCGGCTCCTGGTATAGTAGAATTTCCTTAGCAGCCACATCTCCACTGGGAGGGGGGCTCTCAACAAAGGACACCTCTCAACAAAGGACACCTCTCAACAAAGGACACCGCTCAACAAAGGACACCTCTCAACAAAGGACACCTCTCAACAAAGGACACCTCTCAACAAAGGACACCTCTCAACAAAGGACACCTCTCAACAAAGGACACCTCTCAACAAAGAAAACCTCTCAACTAAGGGCACCTCTCAAATATCGCCACCTCTCAACTAACAACATCTTTCAACTAAGGACACTTCTCAACAAAGGACACTTCTCAACAAAGGACACTTTTCAACAAAGGACACCTCTCGACTAAGGACACCTCTCAACAAAGGACACCTTCACATTCCCGGCTGATCTTAGGACATGTGCAAGTAGGATCAGTTCCGATTTCTCCTTAGTTGCTCCCACTGATGGACTTTGTAAGGTACTCTGTGATCATGACCGATGCATTTGGTCACTCGGGTGTCCGTAACAGAGAGAGGCTGTAGTGTAGTGTGCTGGGAACACCATATGAACTGTTCCTGAACTTCTCCATGGCTACGCATGCTTTTTTTCCTGGAATGTCATTAGCGCTGCTCATACTGGAAATCATGGCATGTATCATGGTGTGTTTGTTCTCATGTTGTGTACCACCCCCCCCCCCTTCTTTGTGATGCAGAAAGAGGAGATGGACAAGCTGCGTAGTGAGAATGCCACAACACTGAAGGAAGCGATGGAACACATGCGCATGGATATAGAACAGGAAAAGGCAGACCTGCAGGTACTTCGGTAGAACTATATTAGGCTGTTTCCAATTACCTTGCTCACGGTTTCTGCTCCAGTTTCTGCCACTGCCTTCATAACAATGCCGCTGCTAATGCTGCCGCTGCTGCTGCTGCTGCTGCTTTAATTTCAATTGCCGTATCACTGCCACTATCGGCAGGTGGGCATCATGAACGCCGCTTACAAGATGTCGACTGTTGTGCGTCATACAGTGTGCAACATCAGCATCCAGCTGAGACTGAGACCAAATGATCTACAGTCCATTTCAAAACTATAGACGCGTACCTAGGCAAAAACCGTTATGCCAGCATCTATACCACATAAAATCTGTGATCACTTTGTGCATAATTTTTTCCAAATTGGGCGTCTGTTATCCAATCGTTTAGAAACTATATGAGAGTAATTGTGGAGCGGACCTGAGCAATATTCCGAAAACTATTCTCAAAACGTTCCAGCCAAATTTGAAATATTTCCAAAACACTACGCATCTATAGTTTTGAAATGTACTGTACATTGCCTTACTAGTAGTGTACTTTCCATGGCAAAAAACTAAGAGGATGTCATTCACAAGTATATACCTTTACCCTTTAAAACAATAGTGAATACGATGTTGACAGTATTTCTGTTGGTCTTGCTCTGCAGGTCCGCTTCGCCGAGGGCGCGGAGGTCAACACTGACCGCATGATGAAGCTCGAAGTCAAGGCAGTGGAGCTGAAGGCTGAGCATGATGTGCTGGGAATGCAGGTAGGAGCGACTAGCAGTGGAAAGTGCCAATATGAACAACAACATGCCGTTATTGTGCGGACACTATGGCACTTATACACCAGAAAAAAATCTAGGACACCTTGTGTGTAAATAGCGGTGCAAGCTGAAGTCTTCCGATGTTACCATAGTATATTTCGACTCAACTTTGGGCCTTTCCTGAGAGTATTGTACGATGTGAATAATAGAAACAGCTTGACTCATGTAGTTTCTCTTGGTTGATTGTTGGTCAGATGGAACAACTGGAGTCTGAGAAACAGAAGCTGCAGCGTGACCTGGAGGATGCTTACAAGCGACACAACGATGAGCTGGAAATACAGAAACTCAAGCATTTCCAGGTGAGCAGCAGGAGATAGCCGCAGGACAGAACAAGATTGTCATAGCATCCTGACATCCCCATTGTCCTCCCTCTCCTGTCTCTCATCTCATGCATACAGTGGTACATGCACATCCACACGCCTAGCCAAGTAACCAAAGCATGAAATGTAGGAGGAACGTTACGCTGGAAGACAAGTGAAGATGGAAGTGAACTGCTGGTATGCATGTGTGTGCAGTCTTCAGGGTATGTCTACCGTTTTCTGTTCACTATTTCCTATAAGCAAGGATTTGACGAGACAAGTGGATGAATCGTGGCGTTGTGAGGTCTGACGGTGCACGTACAAACTGTTCTGCTTGTGTCACCATTTCGGCAGACATTCCGAGCTTATCGCCTGGTGTTCGATGACCAGAAGAAGGTCCTGGAGCAGCGCTATCGCAAGCTACTGGAGGACTCCATTCAGGATGCCGTGTACCTGTCAGCCAGGAACACGGAGCTGTCCCTGGAGAATGAACGACTGCGGAAAGGTATGATAGGATAGGATATGATTGTAACTTAGGAGGCTTTGAATCAAATCCAGTGTTTGTGCTGGTGTGTAGCACAGTCAGGGACCTTCAGTGCAATGCACCCTCTGGGATATTACATACTGCTCTCTTTTCATCGGATACAAAGTACTTTTCTGAAGACCCTGTGTATCTTTTCCAATCACTTGACCTCGGATATAGAGTAAGTTGGCTATAATTAGTAAAAGTACTTATTGTTGTGGCCCTTGGAGGTATAATTTTATACTGAAGCTTGACTATAAAATAAGGAAGTGCCTTCTCTCTCATTCTCTCTTCATATCATCGACGGTGTTATACCATTGGTGCTGGTAGTCGTCATGGCAGCGTGCAGTACACACATGCTGCGTTCTAGTCTTGCCTTGCATGTGTCACATCTAAAGATCTCCTCGCATTTCAGATAGGGAACATGTGCTGGAAATGAGCGTTTGCACCATCATATTTCTAAATAGACCGGCTTCAACAGGAAACATACATCCAATATAATCCAGAGTGGAAGAAAGGGTTGCTTCAATAGACAGAAGTTACCTCCAACATGATCCGAAGTGGAACGGTCGCTTGGGCTCATTCCAACTTCAAAGTACACAGCACAATGCACATACTCCAGTCGGTAGCATGCTAGAGGCAAGCAAGCCAGCCATGATAGCGTTAGTACTCATGACTGCTGTGCTTGTGTGCTTCTACCGCTGTCCTGCAGAGCTGGCCGATTCCCGATCGGTATGAGTGGTGGCATGCGCGTAGCCGGTTGGGTCGATGACTCGGTTCCGTCGCCATTGGACACATTGCGACGACAAGGGTACTGTAGACGTGTACCCGTACAGTCAGATTGGTGTGATGAACGTGTTCCAAACCCACTATTCCTGGCAGGGCATTCTCCACGGTGGTAACTTCAAAGCACGCAAAAATACTAAACCAAATACAAACATTTCCGTAACTTATGACAGAAATATCCACCCACTATGGTTTTTTTAATAGGAGGCTTTGAAAAGCTATTGTTCCACATCGAATGATGAACGTTTGTGCATCAGAGAACAAACACAGGGACACTGCTAATTATTTTTGTAAGAAACCATAAGTTGCAATGGCCATTCCACTATCCAGCTGATTCAATTCCCAACTGGCATGAATTTCATGTGCCCTAATCGAATAAGGCCCAGAATTTACATGAAACTATCCTCTACAGCTTACAAGTTTGTACTTGGCGACGTGATTCATCCTTCATGATGGGTTGAAAGACGATATTTTGATAATTTTTCAGACTTAAATTACATCTAAGATTCGCTTGGACGCTTCTCTTCTATTAGCATTTCCTCGGAAGTTTGCCAGTTTATTCTATTCGCTATTAAATTTTCGTATTCCGACTTCAGTACTCTAGAAATTGTTTATGCACATGCGTCCTGAAAATCACTCTCTCCTGCAAATCTCAAGACATATCACTGCTGTGCGGATTGCATGTCTCAACCACCCTACCCTGTTGTTTCGCTTTGTAGCTTGCTGCGTAGGTCATTCAACCCTGATCTGCCGAGCATTATTATTCTTCCAAGCTGGAAGAACCAGTACCATGTTAGTCAGTGACGGTTGCCGGGGACTTTGGAGTGTTACCTGCTCAATAGAGAAGCCTCGGACTGAGAACATGAACTGGGGCAGGAAATTCTTAGAGGGTTTGCCTGAGCGGATCACATACTATGATAGCCTGAAACTTGAGGTCCGTGTAAAGAAGCTCTGCCCTTTGTGGTATTGTATTGAGTAGTGTGTAGGAAAGAGACTAAACCGAATGATTGTCTTGGCCTGTGAGCCGGAATGCAGCGGCCTCAGTGCTGTACTTCCAAGGTCAAGTAAATACTACTTTGAACTACTTGAAGTACAATTGTACATATACAGCAAAACCTGGTGTAAGCGACCTCTGGGTTTAGCGACCACCTGCTCTTAACGACCGTTTTTCCATGCACCAACAGTTCTACACAGACACTGTGGGACCTGGTTCTAAAGACCACCTGGCTTTAATAACCGCTTTTGCTTGCACCGTGGGGTGGTCGCTTTAACCATGGGTGATGATCACAATCAGCCATGTCGTCTATCAACCATGTGAAATGTCGACCGGATCAGCTTGAAATCCAGTCTGGTGCAAATGCTGCAATGCTGGGGGATTGTGTTGTAGATCTATACAGACTACCGACTAGACGTAGACCATGGTAGATCTACATGACATGTAGATCTTGTACTAGCTAGACAGACTCAGTAAATCGTGCATCGGGGTCACCAGGTCACGCGGCATGATCGCTGAATCAGACTCAGTCAGAGTCAGAGGCAAGGATCTAGGATGTCATTACCTCAGGCACAGGTCATGTGCTGTGTGGGGAAATGGGGTGCAAAGTACGGGCAGCTGCACTCCTCGTATTCCTACACTACAGCCTGTGTGACCACTGCCCAGGCCGGGAGCGCCAACTGATACAGCTGAACTCTATTGCGGGCTTCCTGGTGCGCACAGACTCTGCGACCGCGATGATCAGAATAATGACTCTGGATCGAGAGAAGGATCTGACTGCAGAGCTGACGCCTGCACCTGACGATTTGGCAATAATACCGCGCGACACGAGACTCGAGGCTCGAGCTGAGGACTAAAACCTGCACTTCATGTGTCTATATCATTAGTATTACTAGTAGTGCTGACACCGAAGTCGCAAGACTTATCTCTTTCACTAAAAGACGGTGCCAAACGTTTGCCTCGCAGCCAATATCTTTGAAGAACTGAGTAAGCTAGTAAACGGAAATAATTAGAATTTCATTTTCTGATTTCTTTCTGTGATAGTGCATGGTAACGTTATAACGGTAGCAGCGCCTGGCAATCATGCAGCCGGTGTGTTGGTCCCTTTTCGAGTAGCAGCCAACCTACTGTAGTGCAGTGGCGCTAGCTAGGGCCGAGGCACCGAGTCCACGGGCATGCCTGGATGGCAAGGTGGGAATCCGGTCAACGACCTATGGTCAGCACGCGGAGAAGCAGATAGCTACAGTCCATTCGGCGACACCGGCGCTGCCGACCGGTGGAATAATGGTGGAGGTGGTGAGCTCTACCTGGCGAACGCCACGGACGTGCCGGACAGCAGCAGCAACTCGTCTACCCACACGCCATTCTGCGTTTACCTGGTCATCCATACCATCGGTGGAACACAGTAAGTGGCTGCATGTAGACTGACTGAGTAGCGGACTCTGGAGATGGTAAAACTGTTAGGTAGAAACCAGCTGTCGCTGTGTGTAGCATGCCACGCTTTTAGGAGCGAGCATTACTCCATTCAATGAACTAACTCTGTCTTCGCTAATTTGCAACCTGGTAACCACAGAACCAAATCATTATAGACGACCTCAATCGTACTCAGTGTTGGTGGTCGGCGCTTCCTTCATTCACTGGAACTGGGCGATGCCGTGGTGTAGTGAGAAGGCAGAAATGCCTGTATTATACGACATCTTGTATCTGGTGAAGAAAATGCACTATTCAAAATCAAATAAACTGCTGCGTTGGTGGCTATAGCATGCACTGCATGAAGTGGGCCAAGGTGTGTGCTGGATGGGACAATCTATGGAGAGAAAGCTCTTCGGGGACAATCCCTAGATCTTGGTAAACCTTGAGGATTTATTGAGTTCCATTTGGGTTTTTTTTATTTTCAAACATTACTGTCTTGTTACAGTACCATACAATCGTGACTAAGTACAGTGTTGCACAATGAAAGTGCACAATGAAAGTGCACAATGAAAGTCCGATCAAGTGAGTCAGCTTTGCCCCCCCCCCCCCCCCCCCGCACCAGTCAACATCCCAGTCAGTTTGTACAATGTCATGTAGGTCTAGGGCTGCACAGCACCCAGCATGGCGATACTTGACTTGACTCACTCGATCGGATTTCATTGATGAGCATGCATCACTGCACCCCCAAGAGAGCACTAGTGCATGAAACCAATAGTGTGCAGCTCGAATGGGTTGCTGTCACGGAGAAATTCCTGGATTCCATCATTTTAGTGGTGCAGTGCGTACAACTGAGCTGCGTCTGTGCTAGCAGGTCTCCTGCTGCACAGCTGCAGCTCATTTGTATGCACTACCCCCCCCCCCCCACACACACACACCACCACCGCCACTTATCTGCACCAACAATGATGTCATGATAACCCAGGAATAGTGCCGTGACAGGCACCCATGCAGAAATGTTGCACACTCTGGGTTTCGTGTCACTTCTTGCTACTACTCTGTGGGTAAGGCATGCATGACTGTGTTCATCATCTGCTCTGTTTTTTTTGTTTTGCCACCTGGCTGTCTGCGAACACATCATGCAGAGTGGGTATCTGGGACCTAGTGCTTCTGATCCCGAATGCCCTGTTCCTGCTCTACCTGGTCTCAACCATGTGCCACTCAGCGCGCCGACTCAAGCAGGTCTCCAGCCCCGTCTACAACACATTCTACGTACTGGTGAGGATCGGCGGAGAGTGCTTCAGTGTTGAGCTGCTTTTTCATGTGTGACTGGTTTCCGGCCCCGGCGTCGGAACCGCCGGGTCCAGTTGGTCCGGTTGGTGAGGTCATCACCGGACCAACATGTTTGCCATCAACGCATGTATACTGCTGAAAAGGTTATAGTGCACCTGCTGTGTCACACACAATAGGGCTATGGTATGGCCGGATCAATCAAAACCTGCTTCTGGTGGTCCTGGGTTTGGTGCGTGTTAAGCCTGGTTTTAGTGTTGCCATACATAGAATACCTGGTTCAAATAGAAGCCTGACTTGGTTTGAAGAAGCCTAGCGCTGAAATCGGTTTGTACAAGAATAAGCCCGGCTTTAATACGCGACGTTACGGGTACATGTATGCAAAAAAAAACAGGGTGTTCCTTAGGTATGCAGTGAATGTGCAACTGTGTATGTGCAGGGGCTTCACTACACCTGTTCCTGGTGTGCTAGTATGCGCAGTCTGTTGGTACAGTCATCAGTGGTACCACTGTACCAGTCATGGTGTACATGTACTTGCGTTGTTTGATGTGTGCTAGATCTTCCTGACGTGCGTCATGGGTACGGTGAGGTGCGCTACCACCATGTCCGTGAAGGGGTTCAACTCAGTTTCAGATCGGGTAAGCTATGAGACACAATCTTTTATACAACCAGTGTCTACTGTGAATCTATGTAGTTGCGGACTGTGTCTAGGTGTCACTACAGCAAGGAGCCTATTGGGCAGCATACCACTTAAGGAGAGTGGGAAGTGACGGGAAATCACTACATGTATGTACAGTCGTCCCTCTCTAATCCGGCACTTGTTTATCCAGCACCCTTGCAAACCAGCACACTTTCTGGCAAAACAGATTTTTCCAGTTCATTTTCTACGCTTTAATCCGGCGGCACTTGAATTCCGCCTCCAGCAGCGATTTTCTGCAACAAATCACTCAAACTGTGCATAATTCGATTTTCTAATCCAGCAGTTGTACATCACATACTTGTACTGTCAAGGAGCATTGTAACATAAACAACACATGTAACATACACTTGGGAATATCCTATGCTAGTGCATAGGATATTCCCAAGTGTATGTTATAGACATGCATTCCACAAAGTACTAGTACTTGGATTGACACAGAAAATTGCTACGTTTTGACGTACGACACAAACATGTATGTTAATAGGTGGGCCGGGTTGGAGGGCAGGATTAGATAATCCAGCACCCTTGTTTATCCAGCAGAAAATGCCGTTGCAAAAGGTGCCGGATTAGAGAGGGACGACTGTATACCCATTTCCTAGGCATTGCACACACTGCTGGAATTGGAGACCTCTTCCAAGGGATACACGGCATTAAAAAGAAGGGGGAAAGGGAAAAACATGTTATTCAAGCCACTCCAGCATTCAGTATTCTATCAAACTTCACGGATAGAATCTGTATCATCGAAATGGCTATATGGAGGAATTATATTCTGGTATCTACAGCAACTTGGAAGCTGTGTTGCTGGTGTGGTGAATAAGGTTGATCGAAAAGCACAGGTGGCGGGGAGTTCAGACTAAAGTTATTGATGTAGAAACCGACAGATGCTGCTTGCCCCGCCGGGAGAAACGGGAAGATAAAAGGGGCTACCACGAGTGGTCCAGAGACCCGGGCAAGAGCATTTGTAATTGAATTGGTTATCTACTATAGTACGTCAAGTCGGCGGAATAGCACAGGCTCCGGTGTGGGGAGCAAACCCTTTGCTATCTACTATAGGTGAGGTGTATTCGTCTACTATAGGCAAGGTATACTCGTAAGACCGTGGATCATATGGAGTTCTTTGCTTTTCTTACTTGCAACCTGCAGGTGCTGTGGCTGACGCTTCGCTTCTTTCAACTCAGCACAGAGCTGAGTGTGCTGATTCTAGGCCTACTCTTCGGTAAGTACTGCCAGAGAACTGTGGAGACATTCCTGTGGGACAGGGGTAAGACTGCCAGAGAACTATGGGCACATTCCTGTGGGACAGGGGTAAGACTGCCAGAGAACTACGGAGACATTCCTGTGTAAGACTGCCAGAGAACTATGGAGACATTCCTGTGGGACAGGGGATGGAATGCATCATGAGTCAACAGTACTCCCCACCGCCGTTGTTCCATTCCCACGTCAAACTGATGAACTCAGTCTTGCATTTCAAATGTCACTGATCAAATTCCTATTCCCATACCGCTTTAGGAACTGCACGTGTGCCTTGATCCCGCTGCGGATGGCGGGATTCCCGTCTGACCGAGTTTCTTGCGAACTGTGACATATTGAGCGGGGGTGAAGCACGACACCTGGCCTTGGTGTTAGGGGCAATCCGAATTCTATTCTAGCCACTTCCAGTGCAGAAGCCATGCTGGTCTTGTCAGTTATTGCCTTGTCCATGTACCTGTATATGGTAAAGGGTGCACCCGTGAGTGCGCTCTTGTTTGATCGCATGAGCTCCGAGTAAGAACACAATTGCCGTGGTCCAGTGTTCTACTGTATGCATGTACCGGTGTGTGTGTGGGTGTGCGTGTGTGTGTGTGTGTGCACGCGCATGCAGGGCATTTGGACAGCCGTCGCAGCATCCAGAGAGTGCTCATCATCACCATCACGCTGTCGCTAGCCTACGTCTTTACCCAGGTACTGTTCATTATCCAATCATGCCGCCGCACCTCAGGGGGAGCCTTGCATGGATCTCTACCCACTGAGTACCCAGACACATGCATGCACAAAGCACATGTGGTGCAGTCCTGCTCAATGAAATCCAGTCGCGTCACCCAAGTTGTGCGCCTTGCACCATTTCGCACCCCAGTGCTCGCAGGTCTAGGGCTGCGCAGCGCCCTGCGAGTACTTGCGAGTGACGCTGTGACTGGATTTCATTGAGCAGCACTGTAGTAGTGCAGTCAAACTCCATGAAGACATTGCTGAGATTCTAACTCTCGAACGATTGACAGTACGGTGACAAGAACTTGAATGATTAATGCAAGTCCATGCGCAGCTTCTGGAAAGAAACTGGGCTATGCTCAGAATTCTCCTTGTTTTAACACAGCAACAAGCAAACAAAAAGGAGTTGAAGCTCCCTTAGTCCCGAGATTGGACTGTAGCACGTTAGCTAGTCCACACTGATCTGCTGTAACGACTGCGTGAAGCATCACTGCTCACATTCACTCTGTGTGTGTGTGTGTGTGTCTCTGATTTAGCCACTCACACTAGTAGCAAGTACTGTATAGCAGGAAATTTTCGGACGGAAATATTTTCGGACAAAGACGAATTTCGACCTTTCGTACGGATTATATTTTCGTACAGTGCTGCATGCTAAATACACGTGTTTGCAAGCAGAACACATGTATAGTGTACATAATTTCACATGAACAAATTTTCGTACGGAATTAATTTTAGTACAAAAGAGGCCGCGTACGAAATCGTACGAAAATAAATTCCGTCCGAAAATTTCCTGCTATACAGTATTACCTTCACTGGGGGCAGGGGTAACTGCAGTTGGATCCCAGGACGGATACCCTGATGCCGTCAATCCTTTTTCTGCACCTTGTCCTCACCCACTTACGAGATGTGGTGAGCCCGTAAGTGGGATCATTTTCAAGTCCACCCAGAGTTTTGGGGATTTCAGGGGTGTCGGCCGTTGGGCGGTTCAATAGCCAATTGAGTCATCTTTCCAAGATTCCTTTTGAGTCTCTCTCCTCTCTTCCGGGGAGACCCACGTGACCAGTTTTGGCAGTGAGAAACAAGTACAAGACAAGTGTGTGTGTGTGTGTGTGTGTGTGTGTGTGTGTGCACATGTACTGCGTCTTGCTCTTGCAATGCTGGCTGCGTGCAGGGTGTACTGCAGCAAATGTCAAACGGCGAGGATCTGCTGGATCACAATGTGTACGCACATGGCGGCGTGCCGTTCTGGTTTGGAAGCTCACTACTATTCCTGCTGGTGAGTCCGACTCTTGAACTTCCAACTGGTCAGCATACTTCTTCCCCGAGTAAAACATCCCCTGAGTAAAACACCCCCCGAGACCATCGATACAATGGCATGTGATTCTGCTATGTGCAATGACAGTAATCTGTGGGGTAGCCCTAAAACATTCACTGTCAACGTTCAATCGTAGACTCCTCCTGGTAGTGCATGATCTGGTTTTTGAAGTTTCCTGCCAGGCGAGCATTTCAGTGTTGATAACTACAAATATTTGGGGGTAGTAATATTGCCCCCTCCTCCCTCCCCTTATGCACGGGCCCGGCGTTCCAGGCACGCGGGTGTGCATGCGCAGGCTGTTGGCAAATTTCACCTTTCTGTCTGCCTGTGTGCACCGTGCATGCGGCACGGCGAAATACCTGCGTCCGTGTGCAGGTGTACGTCAGTGTGGTGCTGCTGCGCTACATCCCGTCGCTCAACTGCTGTGGCCTGATCGTACCCGGTAAGCTTGACATTCTCATCAGTCAGCAGTGATAATAAGCTGTAGAACAATGTTCAGTGCAATGAGGCCATGCACGTACTTCCTCTGTTAAGCAAAACTTCGTTCCGTTTGTAGAGTTCTTGTCATGATAATTCTTTCAGCATTAGATATACATGTCCGTGATGTATCCCCTACAAAGGGTAGCCGAGGTGTCGGCCATTGTTCTGACAGGCCTTTGAACCTCTGAAAAGCGTTGAGTCCTTCGAAAAATCGGCGAAGCAGGACCGTTTGTCGACAGGATGTCACCAGAACCCCAGGCGCACGCACATGACACCAAAGTGCGAAACTGAGAAATAGTTTGAAGGACCGCGTGGCTCGAAGAAGTGATCAGAAGCCGGCCAGCGCTCAGCCACCGCTGTACCAGCACGGGTCGACGGTGCGCATCCGCACACAGCCAAAATCAATGCACTTGTGTTTGCAGTGCAGGGGAAATCAAAAGGGTTCGGCATTCAGGTTGCCGTACCGCCGGCGCAAAGTCCTGATCTCAACGTCGACGACTTGCCGTTCTTCCACAGCCTGTAGACAGACGTGTCACTCGTGGCAAAGTAAACCAAAAAGGAACTTCTGCAGGCTGTGGAAACATGCTGGCACGAGTACACCGCTGCGAAGTTGAGAAGCATTTGGTTTGGCCTCCTTCTATGGTATTCCAGAGAGTGACCGCAACTACCAGCGCCACCGTGGAGGTCGTCAGGCTCACAGTTCGAGTGAAGAACTTGGCTATCTCCACGATCAAATCGTGTCTTGGCAACTTGTAAAGGCTGGGGAACAAAAGCTAGCAGCACTGGAGGCGAAAGTCAGTGAGGATGCAGACTCGATGTCATTGAGAGAGCGAGTCGTCAGCAGATTCAGACGAAGAGTGAAGCTGGACTGCTTTGAAACGAGCTGTGTCGGACATCTGTAAATAAATATTATATCATATGCTGGTTTGTTATCCACTTTTGCAAAGCATGTTTGTAGCCGTAGGATGATTCGGACTGAACTGTAAATATGCAACAAAGTTTTGCTTAACGGAGGAAGTACACATAGGTCAATGCACTACATAGCATGATGAGTTGCCGCTGAATTCGTCCTCGGGTTGTTCTTCCTTGTGTGTCTGCAACAGCAGAAGGTCTCTTTGTTAGTTCCTATGCCTGGGTGTCTTCTATGTCCCTGTCATGCACAGTGAAGGCTAAATTCTACTACTACGCTCTGTTCATGGCTATTCTCAACTTGCTGCAGTCGGTCGGCAGTGGGCTGATCCTGTTCACTGATCCCGATGCCAGTGAAGGATTCTGGTAAGGGTACCGAAAAAATGCATGCCGAGCGGGATGAAATGTTCTGCCGGCAAGGGCTTGGATGTGTAAACAACTGAAATGCGTAGCGGCTTCCATTGCCCTTGTGTGTAGAACGGCATCAGAATTGTTGTACTTGAAGTACGGGCGTAGAATACATGACCTTGTAGAATACATGACCTGAGGACATGCAGTGCTGGCTTAGTCTCAGCTCTCCAAGTTTTCTGAATTGTAGATGTACTAGTAAGGGTAGTTCAAGGTAGCAATAGTCATCAGTAGATGAGGTGTGCCGTGTTCTTCAAAGATCCATTCTTCTTCCAGTGTGCTAATCAACAACGCTAAGGAAGGCGGCGCACAGTTGTTATCATTAGGTTGGGTTTCGATCCACGTGATTTCTCCACGACTCCTAAGCATGCCGTGTTGCTTTGGAGATGCGTTGGCTGCATGCGCCCACTGCATGCACCACGAACCGAAACCGCGTTATCCAGCTTGTTATGCACGCTGCACGTGGTGTGTACCTTGTGTTTCGCGCGACTTGAACGTTGCCATGGATAAATCCGGAAAGTGCAAAAAATATTTCAAAAAGTCCTACGGAGGACCCAACGTAGGAAACAGCTTTCCTACGGAAATCCGTAGAGAGATTTACGTATGAAAGTTGCCCTCGCTCTCCAGCGCGTACGACATGCGGGTTTTCATGCGTAATTACGTAGAGCGAAACCTCCCTGGGCTATTGTGTGGAACAGTGGTTTACGGCAATGGCTGACAATGTTGTGCTGTTTGTAAGCAAGACAACTGGTGGGTGATTGGTGCATGCATGGTAATATGGCTGCGTTCGTTTTTAGCTACCTGGTAGAGTAGAGTCACTCTACCGACAGAGGTAGATGGTAGAGGCAAGTGCACGAACGCTGTTCTACCTGATTTAGTAGTTTTTCACGATATGTACGTGAAATGTTTTTCTTCTGTATGGAGTTGTATACAACCCCTTGATGTTGCTGGTAATCCCATAGCTCTACCAACTTCTACCGGGTTCTACCAACTTTTTCCTGGCAGAGCCGGTAGAGGAAAGTAGAATCTACGCTTTTGAGTAGAAAAAACGAACACCTCTACCGAAAGAAGTAGTTTTTACCAAAACCTGTAGATCAAAAGCAAACGCTCCCTATCACTCGCATCACTAGATTTCACAGGTTACTCATGTCCTGTATAATTGCACAAAAACAGGAGTATTTGAAACATTCACGGGGGACTGAACGGATTGCGACAATCTGCCGTCATGTAAAAACAGCCTGGGATCGAGTGGTCCACCGAGTTGAACCTGCGAATAACTCGGCCTACCTGATCCCAGTGTACACAGGACATGTTGATTTGCTCATTTACACCAGTACTTTATGTATGTCATTCTCCTGTCCTGTAGCCTCATCGACGTCACGACGTTCTTCCTCTTCAGCCTCTTCTCTCCGATAATCTACACGGTGTTTCTGTGGGGATTCTTCAAGTGAGCAACACGTGCATGTATTGTTGATTTGCTTGTTGCTCCAAATGGAGCCATTAATACTAGCAAGAGTACATGAAAACCAGAGTGTGCAGCTCGGATTGGTTGCTGTCACGGCGAAATTCCGTGATTACATCATTTTAGTGATGTAGTGCGTACAAGCAGGATTCAAGCAGGTCTCTTTCTGCACAACTGCAGCTCAGTTGTGCGCACTACGCCATTTCCCGCCTCAGATCTGCACCAAATATGATGTAATCACGGAATTTCGCCGTGACAGACACCCATAGCAGAGAAGGCCCCAAGCTGCACACTCTGGTTTTCATGTACTCTTGATAGTTAATACTCATAGCTCCTGGTTGTGCTGGTCCTATGGGGCAGGTGGTCACCTTATCCAAGTGGTGGTGGGTTTTAAACTGTGCTGTGATGGTTGCAGTTTGGAAGCAGTTCTGCATCGTGTCTGCTATTCTTTGCCTTCTGCCCGTTCAGGCCGAGTTTCACCAGTAGCAGTGAGCGCTCGCACCTGCTCGACATCTCCTACAACAGCCCCGGCGAGTTCAATCCACGCACGTCGATCATCAGCAATGCTGGAGGCCACGGATCAACGAACAACGGTGTGGCGCCGGTGATGGGCGGACACGGCACCGGCATATACGGCTCGTCGGCGCCCAAGGACATCGGATCCTACCCGCTATCCTACAACTCGCTGGCGAGCAGTCTGGATGCGGTGGACGGTGACCTGAAAGACGAGATGCTGGATCCGGAGAAAACTAGGAGAGCCGAGCACGACGTGTATCGCTCGCCCAGTACCGAGACCACGCGCAGCTACGGCTTCCGCACCCCGCTGGAGCGTAGCTTTGTGGACAATTACGACAGTGAAGGCTCGCTGAACAGATACAGTGACACGGACCTGAGTGACTTTGAAGACCTGAGCTAGCATAGTGGCTGTGCTACGCTACCGAGGCCGGGCTGGGTCCTGGTGGGTTTTCGGCACAGCCACGTGCACGCATGACGGGTTCCAACGAAGAGTTTATTCAAAGTCAACATCCTGATTTGCACCTACTGGTACATGTCCTCTCCCCCCCCCCCCCCTCTCTCTCTCTCTCTCTCTCTCTCTCTCTCTCTCTCTCTCTCTCTCCATCGGCCGCTTCCCAGCAATGTGAACTTTACCAATACATGTATTCTCGTGGAACTGGATACTTGAGTACAGTCATTTTGTCAACAAATTACGCCGCTGTTCTTATTAATCAAGTTTTTTATCTCCTTGAATGTTGACCTTACCTGCGACACATGTGCAAAGAGATTTTCCAGAGAGCATCCTATTTTGCGCGCAGCACAAACACCTGCCTTCTTGACCGTGCAGTGTGGCCCTCCCAAGTAGGTGGTTCAGAATGCGCCACACTATTTCGGCTTCATCACTGAGTATCCAGGGTTGGTGTCAGACAGGGAGGGAGCCCTACACACAGCCCTACACATTATGTGTAGGACTGCTCCCTAGGCCCTGGTGTCAGACAAGGGGGGGGGGGGGGGGAGCTTTCTTGGAACAAGTACATTTTGGTATCGCACTGAGTCTGTACATGGTTCAAGTTGCAGGCCATGTACTACAGTAGCTGCATGCACTTGCACCACGGGATATGTTTGCTTGCGCATGTTCGTAATTCCTCCTTCACCGTGTGTGGACAGTGCGGCCAGTGAAATCCAGGGAGCTGTATAGGTTAAACAACTCCCCAGTGAAATCTGACAGGTCGCGCGAGAACTGCACGGTGGACGTGTGGGCGCGTGCTCTGAGCTGCAGGGCTGCTCGACACGGGTGCCAAAACTGCGCAGTGCAGCGGGCAGGTTTCACTGGCCAGTGCTCCACTTCGGGTTAGGATGTGGCCCAGCCCGTCAGCGAGTTGTGAACTATTGCATAATATATCCTGGCATGTGTGCGCTCTTGTCATTCAGCTACAGAAAACCAAAGATACGAGTTTACTTTTTGCCGGTTTCCCGCTTGAGGATGGACTGTCCGCAGCTCTGTGCATCCCAATGCATGGAGGGGGCACATGCAAATCCCCATGCCATGAAGTCAAAAACCGAGTTTTCGAAGTCGAACGCAGCCCAGATCGGATTTTCAACTTTCCAAACTCCATCAATTTCTGCACGGACTACATTTGATGTGTACAGAGAGCTGTGAACAAGGGTGATAGCGTATTACAGATCTTTACATAGTGTGTGTGGATCTACAATAGTCGTGTGCGAGAGAAGCACACAGAAGCAGGTGAGAGCGTGATCAACAATATGGGACGCTAAAAATTGACAAAAGAGGCGTCACATCGAGAAAAAAATCCATATTCCTAAATAAATGTCCACATGAAAAAAGTATGAAGTGGAACTATTAAACCAAAAAACCACAATAGTGGAGGAGCCATTATGTTTGGTAGCATACGCTTCACGGGCGCCTGTATCAACGGCTCTTTTGCGCAAACAGTTAAATAAAGCGAGCCAACTAGAAGTGCAGGAGAGCCAGGCCAGAAACGAGGAATTTGAGGATCTCAGAGGAAAATATCAACTTGACTAGCTTTCTGGTGTCTCCGCACTGGTTTAAAAAAAAAGAGAGAAGAAGGTGAAGACTGACCAAGGAGACCATATTGCTGAGGGTTGCACCGAGAAGGAGACGGCGGTAACGAGCAGCACTGCATCTTGGGACACGCCTCACCTACTGCACATGCAGCACTGTCTTGACGGCGTTGACGATGTTGAAGTCGCGCGGCGTGGCGTTGTCCTCGAGGCTCTTGGCGTACGGCATCGGGACGTCGGCACCGGTTACGCGCACTACTGGCGCGTCCAGGTAATCAAACGCCTCCGCTACAAAAGCAAAACAAATCCAACAGATTTAACAGATTCAGCCACATACAGTCAGACCTCGCATATCCAGATCCCTCGTCGTCCGGAAGAAAATAGTTGGTTGCCGATTTACAGCATATGTCATGCATACATACAGTATGTGTGTTCGATTATCCGGTTCCCTTGCCTACGTGGAAAACGGGTGTGTGCGGTTAAGCGAGGTCCGACTGTGTTTTAATTACTTCTAGCACAGGTGAAATACAAAAAGAGTGCGCGACAGACCTGAGAGAGCTTTACTGCAATCCCTGCCTGTTTTCAGCTGCATGCACAGTAACGTTGCGTGCACAAATGCCCCGGATGCAATGTGTTACGTTCTGCTCAAAACCAGCTACAAGCTCTATAGCGGACTACTCAACTCTGTAGTACCCTTAGCAGGGTTTGCAGTACGGTGTTTCACGAATTTGATGAAAGCATGCCTGTTTTCGTTGTTGATGGGAAGTCGTCAAGATAACTAGCTCCTATTGTACATGCACGGACTGTGCAACTTGTGCCTGTGCCGTGAAACACCGGTCACTGTGACAGTGGTAGGTTAGATGCCAAGAAGACTGATATACATGCAGTGTACAACATACAGCCATGCACTATGACATGAGTGCACACATGGACCCACACCCACATACCTCCCCCCCCCCCCCCCACACACACACGTGCACAAACGGCATCAGCACACTCACACTCCATAATCTGTGCACAGATCTCTGAGCCGACTCCGGACTGCGGCCAGCCACCTTCAACAGTCACCAAGTGATTGGTCTTCTTGACAGACTCCACGATGGTCGGTACGTCCATTGGTCGAATTGAGCGCAAGTTGATCACCTACACAATACAGAAGTGCAGACCAGATGTGTTTTCTATAACATTGAGTTGAAAAAGTGCGAAATAGGGGGTGAGCTAAAAAAAGAAGAAGAGGGAGAAGAGAGTGCATGTATGTCCTATCCTGACATACTGGAAAACTGCGCCGTGGAAATCATTATTATCCGAGCTTGAGTGCACCCATAAAATAAATGTACGTACCATAGTTGCAGCATAATAAAGCAAAAAATGCGCACAATCAATCTCAACAGGCAGAGCACTGAGATGCGGGGCGGCGTGCAGCTTACCTCACAGTCGATGCCCTGCTGTGCCAAGATGTTGGCAGCTTCCAGGCAAAAGCCAACCATCCGAGAGTGTGACACCAGTGTTACACGAGAACCTGAACAAACACACACACGCACACACGCACACATGCACGCACAGAACAAAACATGCACACATGTACACACATAGACAAACATGCACACACACACATGGACACACGCACGCGTGCACACACACACACAAACAAAAACCTTATGAAGTACATGTCCATGTAGATACAGGAAAGAGCAGTAAATCATACTCAAAGTAGGAAAAAATATCTACTACAGTCTGTTTCAAAAAGATTAGCAATCAAGTTTGGGTCTTAAAAAGTATGAAGATAAGGGAAATTTGGACAACAAAGTACATAAAACGGCTTGTTAGGACACGGCAAATTGTTCTGTGAAGGTTTCGGAACAATTGGACCAACCATTAAGGAGTTAGTATTTCGGCCAGGTTTCTGGCCTTTTCCCATGGTTTATAATTTGCCCTGGAAGCCAGTATCGATTTGTTATCAAAACCCACGATTTATCCCTTCCTTTTTGGCCTTGTGGTTATGAATGCTGTCTGCTGACCATGAAGTTGTGAGTTCAAATCCCAACAAATCTTCAAGTCAAACATTTTTTCTTCATTTTTTCATTGTTTTGGTGATCACGCTGGTACAAGACAAAGAAGGTGGCTGCGCCAAACGACTTGTTGTTGGAGCTCGCGTTTCCTGCCGAACTGACTGACACTTGACTGGCTCACGCCATGTGAATTTGTGAACACACACAACACTGAAACCGTGTGAGTGAACACGGAAGTCATTGCGCTGTAGCTACGTGTTTTTGAATACACTGGCACATCGATCGATCGATTTCTGTTTGAGAATTATTTTAGTATTTTGAAGATCGCCAATTTATTTGAATTTAGGAGTCAACGCCGTCTTCTATCAGCTTTCACAGACGTCTGCTTTTCTCAAAATGTCGTCGAAGTCACACGGATAGCTTTGCCACTTCAAGGCCTTGGGAATGAGTCTGTGTCGATGCCGTTTTCGTCACATCGTGAGAGTAAATTGCATCCGCGGCAGCTCAAAGAATCTATTTGGTCACAAAACGGACGCATCCCGCTCGTCAAAATTTACCACACTTTCGACATGTCCTCTCTGACTCCATATCGATGCGAGGAAGAACTCGTTTGTTGTAAACCAGACGAACATGTACCAGTACGAGTACCGACGTCAGTGAGTTGCCATTTTTCATGCTTTCGCGCGGAATATTTCTTCGAGTTCACAGTGAGTTTTTCCAGGCAGCGCTCGAGCCGTCATACGGTAAGACGGCAAACTCCCCGGGCGATCGCCAGGATTGCTAATCTTTTTGAAACTGACTATAGTATGTAGCATTTTAAAGGACCATGCAGCTTTGTTTATAATAACTTTCGAACCTCCGCAATATTATTACGTAGGTTTGCAAGGCCGATTTTTGAGTTCGGGTTGGCACTCCACTGAAAGTCAAACCCAGTGAAGAAATTCAGGTGGAGAGGATCAGGAAGCAGAGATCGCGTTTGTGTTACTTTGACAGGTAATGTTTTTTTCTTGTTTTTTTCCAACTGATCATGGCATGAGTGCCCTACCTTTTTTTAAACGTTGTAGAACACTGTCCTTCAATACAAAGCACGAAGAAGTGTAAAAACAACAGAAAAACTTTGACAGGTAATGTGCACACATGTACAGAAAGTACAACGTAGACAATTTATGACTGTCCGGACGCAAATCCACAATTCGTGTTCTAACTGAACGCAAAATGTGAGAGCTCCAGTTCGAGCTCAAAAGAGAATCTTGTCATGCTTTAACCTCTGTATTGTCACACTATTGTGCATAAGCTGTATACTGAAAGGCAAGTAAAATTAGGTAATTTCAGCGGAACATACAGGTCTGGATGAGCAAGACGGTAAAGATGTCTTTCCAAAAGACAATACACCAATGCCAATCTTACCGACACGCTCAATCTTCGCTTTTCCGATTGGTAATACAAAGTCCTTGTCCAGGGCTTCGTCGGACACTTCCATTTCTTGCCCGTACATGACCTCATTCTCCAAGACAACCACTGCAGAACGAAGGGAAAAAAACAAAATGCATGTTCACCGACGAGAAAGGGTCATGAATGCTTGCATTGGCTGTATCATCAGCACAAATAGTCAAATACAGAACTGGGAGCATCGGAACACACAACACACGCAGAGCTAGGTACAACAGCGTAAATACAGAGTTGGGAACAGGAATCCGACAAATCCTTGATAACTCAAATCCGACTTGATAGCATAATCGATTACAAACTAGTACAAAGCACACAAAAACCGGCCCCCAGTCGACATAGCACGCCACTCAGTGATCAGGCCGTTACGAAACACCAAAGTACACACAGCACAGTGCATAACTCTAGCCGAGGAACACCGCATGACAAAGGTGACGAGCTCAAGCTCGAGTCTCGTATCACTACTGCCAAATCATTCTGACAACCATCGACCGCATACTATAGGTAGCTGATACAAGCGATAGAGCACGGATACACTGTACGTGTGTGTCCAACGCCACATGCATGGTGTATATTGGCAACTCTGACTACAGCCTAACAGGGCAAAGAGTGACGGCCATCTTCTCCAGGGCAGGCAGCGTGAGCCAGGACAGCAAGGCTGGTGGTTACACAACGCCCGTGTCCCTTGCTTGCTGGTGGCATTAGCACTGACCAGGATTATCGTCGCGGATAGCCGCCTTCATAAGACCACGGCAGTCCTCTACACTGTATGGAGACACAACCTGCACAACACCAGAGAACACAAGAGGAAGCAAAACGAGGGGCAGCATTGATGTGTTAGGATGGCATTCCGTAGTAGCCAGCTAGTAAGACGGCGCGGGGGGTAGGCCTTGGCGGATAATGCCGGCAGAAAAATTGGCAGAATTCGGTACTTTTTCTGGTAAGTTTCATGCATGTTTGGTATGTGGATAAAGAAATGGAGCAGAATTCGAGGAATTGCCCGCCATAAGGTTTGTATGGTTCTGCCAATTTCGGTGCAAAAAAAGCAGAATCTGCCACCTTTTCGAGCATTATCCGCTAAGGCCTGGGGGGGGGGGGGGGGCATCATAGTGCTCATGGACCAGTGCTGGTGTTCACCCTTACTGGAAATCATTACATCTGCGCCCTACACCTAGCAAATTATCAAAAAAGCAGCTGTGAGATGACCTTATACGTACATTAGTCCATGTACTGCATGCAGTGAAAACGTCACTCTATCAGTGTTACTCATACCAATGGCATCGCATGACCTGACCACACCAATGACATAACATGAATTGACCACACCAATGACATCACATGAGCTGACCGTACCTTGAGGCCGGGGCAGTGGCTGTACCATGCTGCAAAGCACTGTGAATGCTGAGCAGCAACGCCAACGGCAGCACCATTCGGTCCACGGAACACGATGGGCACTTTGACCTGATAGCAGAGCAGGACATATGGAAAGCGAAAAAATGACAACAATATACATGTACACAAAATTCTAGGTACATATTGTATTGGTCAGACCAAGATGCAAACCGACGGGATCCATGCAATGCATGTATGTGCACGTTGATCTCAACAGATCCGGGCCCGATGGGTTAGGATCACACAGGAGTAGTAGCTTCCCACTGATGCCAAAAAGATGCAAGCAAGAAAGCTTGCATCTCCAACACATACACACCTGTCCTGCTGACATGTAGTAGGTCTTAGCTGCCGAGTTAACGACCTGGACGTAAGAGAAAAGCAGACAGACAGCCAAACTGATATAAACAGACACACATACTATCTTACACGCACATACACACATACATACACATACATACACAGACATGCACAGACATACATACACAGACACTTGTACTTGTACGTGTTGCTCACTGCCAAAACTGGTCACGTGGGTCTCCCCGGGAGAGGGGAGAGAGACTCAAAAGGAATCTTGGAAAGATGACTCAATTGGATATTGAACCACCCAACGGCCGACACAAGTCCACCCACACAGACAGAGACACAGACACACATACAGGTTTCACAATTGCACAAGAACACAGACTATAGATGTAGCTATTGGCTAGCAGAAAATACAGCTGCCAGAGACATGCCACTGAAGACCATGACTGATCTGAGTGGGCTCAGAATGCGCGCTTTGGACAAGCAATCATGGAGGGAGCTCTCAGCCTGAGCTGGTTTTGCTCACGGCTGCAACGCACGGGGTAGTGAACCCAGGACAGAAGCGGACCAGGCATCATGACTTTGCACATCTATCGTTATGCTGCTTCATTACGCGACCTGTTTTATTATTATTATTATTATTAGCAGAAAATAAAAAGAAAGAGATGGAGACACTGTGAAAGCCAGAAGTAGAGTACACTGCAGTGAAACCTTGTCAGGGAGAACACTGGTAAGACAAACTTTGCTTTAGAAGACCTAGTCTTCACAATTCCATGGGACAAATCACTGTGTATTCACTGGGTAAAATATATGGATAAGAACTCCCGTCAGTGCGAACAAACACCATTGATCCCTTTTGGTGTTCGTCCTAAAGAGGTTTGACTGTATATGTCCTTGGGGACGGCAGCAGAGAGAGAGAGAGAGAGAGAGAGAGAGAGAGAGAGAGAGAGAGAGAGAGAGAGAGAGAGAGAGAGAGAGAGAGAGAGAGAGAGAGAGAGAGAGAGAGAGAGAGAGAGAGAGAGAGAGAGAGAGAGAGAGAGAGAGAGAGAGAGAGGAAGAGAGGAAGAGAGAGGAAGCAAAGAAAGTATACACACTTACCTGGTCGATGGCTTGCATGGAGAAATTGAACGTCATAAACTCGCAGATCGGCCTCATTCCCGCCTGCCCACAACAAAGACCAATGGAAAGAACATTTCAGAACAAACCTCAGTTATAACAGCTAGAGTCAACTGACACCTGCAGAGAGAGAACGGCGCAGACAATCAATGTGCACTAATAACGATAGAGATCAAACAACCACAGTGAAAACAAGGTCACAACCACAGTGTAAGGTTGAAGACCAGAGATTGTACAAGGAATGGTTTGTGCCGAGTCTAGACCCAGGGCAAGACTTACCATGGCAGCACCCACAGCAACACCGGCAATACCCATCTGTCAACAATTGGGCAAAGACAAAGACAAAATCGAAGACAGCATCAGCAACAAGAATGGGAACGAGAACAAGAACAGCAGCAGCTCATAGACGTCCTTGTATCCCCGTACGCATGCAACCCGATACACATGTATTTCCATTTTCCAAGCTCACAGTTGCCTCTCCCCCCCCCCCCCCCCTCACCGCTTCCCCATATGGGATTCACAGGGAACAAAGTGAGAGGGTACAAGTGATCAAAAGTTCAAAACACCGTCTTAGGGGGTGATTATATGTGCAGCTCCAGCCCGGGCTGGTCGACAGGCGGGCTGGCCCGCCTGCAACGGGATCTCGGGGTTGTACACAAATCCACACAAAACTTGTGGTGCGTTTACATGGCAAGCGGGCTGGCCCGGCGAGGCGGGATCCCGCCTCGAGGCACCCGGGATCCCGGCTAGGCGGGCCAGAAAAAGCACATATAAACAGACCAGCCCGGGCCAGAGTTGTATTATTATGGTGTCGACACTGCG